GAGATTTCTTCCTGGTAAAAGTAGGTCTTAGACAGGGATGTGTAATGTCACCATGGTTGTTTAATATATTTATAGAAGGGGTTGTAAAAGAAGTAAATGCTAGGGTGTTGGGGAGAGGAGTGGGATAAAATTATGGGGAATCAAGTACAAAATGGGAGTTGACACAGTTACTTATTGCTGATGATACTGTGCTTATGGGAGATTCTAAAGAAAAGTTGCAAATGTTAGTAGACGAGTTTGGGACGGTGTGTAAAGGTAGAAAGTTGAAAATGAACATGGATAAGAATAAGGTGATGAAGGTATCAAATGATTTAGATAAAGAAAAATTGGATATCACATTGGAGAGAAGGAATATGGAAGTGAATGTTTTCAGATATTTGGGAGCTGACTTGTCAATAGATGGGTTTATGAAGGATGAAGTTAACCATAGGATTGATGAAGAAAAAAAGGTGAGTGGTGCATTGATATATCTGTGGAGACAAAAAACGTTATCTATGGATAACAAAAAAAAAAAAAAAAACCAATACTGTGACTGGAACGATACACAAATAGCCCGCACATAGTTTCGGTCTGACTTGGACCATTTACAAAGTCACACTAACGTTAGTGTGACTTTGTAAGTGGTCCAAGTCAGATCAAAACGTCGTCATAAGCTCCTCTCTTATAAGTGCGTATTATTTGTTATCTATGGAGGCAAAGGAAGGAATGTATGAAAGTATAGTGGTACCGACACTCTTATATGCGTGTGAAGCCTGGGTTGTAAATGCTGTAGCGAGGAGGCAGCTGGAATAAGTGGAAATGTCCTGTCTAAGTGCAATGTGTGGTGTAAATATTATGTAGAGAATTTGGAGTGTGGAAATTAGGAGAAGGTGTGGAGTTAATAAAAGTATTAGTCAGAGGGCTGAAGAGGGGTTGTTGAGGTGGTCTGGTCATTTAGAGAGAATGGATCAAAGTAGAATGACATGGAGAGAGTATAAATCTGTAGAGGGAAGGAAGGAGGGGTAGGGGTCGTCCTCGAAAAGGACAGAGGGATGGGGTAAAGGAGGTTTTATGGGCAATGGCCTTGGACTTCCAGCAAGCATACGTGAGTGTGTTAGATAGGAGTAAATGGAGATGAATGGTTTTTGGGATTTGAAGAGCTATTGGAGTGTGAGCAGGGCAATATTTAGTGACGGGATTCAGGAAAACCGGTTATTTTTATATAGCCGGACTTGAGTCCTGGAAATGGGAAGTACAGTGCCTGCACTTTATAGGAGGGGTCTGGTATATTGACAGTTTGGAGGGACTTCTAAACTACTGTATCTGAGTGTGAGTGAGGTGAAAGTGATGACTGATGATGAAAGTATTTTCTTTTTGGGGATTTTCTGTCTTTTTGGGTCACCTTGCCTCGGTGGGAGACGGCCAACTTGTAAGAAAAAAAAAATTCCTTTTCAACCTAGGAGACCTGGTGTAAGACACTGCCTTGGGGAAGATAATCCACAGAATCATTAACAGGATTATTTCACTTCAATCTTCTCCTACTTTGAACTATCAGTCACATACACATTAACCAAATTACTATATAATCAATATATACATATCATTTTCTACCAGAAGAACTAAACTTTCTTTATATAAGTGATACACAACTCCAGAACCACTATCAGGCACACAGTCTCCTCCAATTCTTGGCTGCATCCATATGCAAATTACAAAGGTTTCACATACTTCCATATTTGTATCTATCCCCCAGAACTCACATCACTTTTACATATATTCCACCTACATAAACTCTTCCTGGCACTGAACAATATACCTCCTATTCAATACATGTTGAACAACCTTAATAATCCTCCTATATTCACTTTGTTAATTATCTAATTAGGTTGACTGCCTCTCTTAACTATGCATCCTCTCCTCCACAAAATAAAATTTACACAAATAACCCGCACATAGAAGATTATTATTATTATAATCAAGGGGGAAGCGCTAAACCCGGAGGATTATACAGCGCCTGGGGGGGGATGTGGAAGGCATTCAGGCTTAATTCAGGGAACTGGAGCGCAGATCCAATTCCCTAAATCAAGAGCCCCTCACCAACATCAAGGAACCTTCCTTGAGGGGAGCACATAGAAGAGAGGAGCTTACGACGACATTTTGGTCCGACTTGGACCATTTACAAAGTCACACTATTCAGAAGTGGAGCAGGACAGCTATATATAGGCAGGAAGAGGCGGCGGCGGCAGCGGCGGCGGCAGCGGCGGCAGCGGCGGCGGCAGCGGCAGCGGCGGCGGCAGCGGCAGCAGCAGCAGCAGCAGCAGCAGTAGTAGTAGTAGTAGTAGTAGTGGGGACTAAGTCACAGGTTGAAGATGCCTTCTTTACTTTCCGTCAGCGTCAAGGTGCTCTCTTTGCGGCTCTACCACAAGATCTCTGTAACCTTCTCTCTACCATTGCGTTTGACACTGCTCGCCTGAATACACAAATTCATTCTTCTAAACTACAGAATGAACTTCAACGTCTCATCTCAGCTAGCCCTTGGTCTAAATTCTCCCTCACTGACTGTGTTACTAACTTGTCTTCTGTCTCACTCTCTCAGTATGAGCTTGGACTTCTTGGTTTTGGCCTTTCCTTTGCCACTTCGCCTACCCCTCGCACTGGTATTTCCCTGATTAGCTCTTTTGATTCCTTTCGTCAAACTCGCTCCCGTAATCTTCCTGACTTGCCCACTTTTCGTGGCGCTCTCCTTCCTGCTCTTTTTAGTCTGTTTTCTAAGAATCACCACCTTCCGCGCCATTACCAACTTGCCCTTTCTTCTCTTAAATCTAACACTAACATTGTCATACTATCTTCTGACAAAGGTAATTCGGTAGTTATCCTTGATCGCGAGGATTACCTCCGTAAAGCTGATGTCTTGCTCTCTGACTCACGTACCTACACTCCTCTCGTTTCCAACCCTCTTGATCGCATCAAGAGAACTTTCAACAAGAAACTAAGGACTCTCTCCGACCTCTGTCCTCCTGACTTTGACCTTGTTCAACGGTTTTGTGTCATCTGTCCCTCTCTTCTGTATTTCTATGGCCTTCCCAAAACTCATAAACCTGATATTCCTCTTCGTCCTATCATATCCTCTAGAGGTTCTGTCTCTTATTCCCTTGCTTCTTGGTTGGCCAAAACCCTCACTCCCTTTCTTGGTACTTTTTCTCCTGCCCACCTCCGTCACTCTCAAGACTTCATTGAACGGGTTCGCTCTCTCCCAACCTGTAAGATGCTTAGTCTTGACGTTGAGTCCCTCTTCACCAATGTCCCTCTTGATGATGTCCTTGATTTCCTTAGAGTGAAGGCCCTTGAAGGGTTTCTACATCTCCCTATACCTATTGAAGTCTTTCTTGATCTTATCCGCCTCTGTGTGGACTCTAATTCCTTTTCCTTCCAAGGGAAATATTATTCTCAAACCTTCGGTGTCGCTATGGGCTCTCCTCTCTCTCCTGTCCTTGCTAATCTTTACATGGAATACTTCGGGACTGTTCTTCTTCCTACCATCGATGTGCAACCTTCACTCTGGCTCCGCTATGTGGATGACATCTTTGCTCTGTGGCCTCATGATGCCAATCTCTTCCAACCTTTTCTTGAAGCTCTTAATAATCTTGCCCCTTCCATTAAGTTTAAAGCTGAATGGGAATCTAATTCCTTGCTTCCTTTCCTTGATGTCCATGTCCACCGCTCAGATACAGGTTTTTCCTTTTCCGTTTACCGAAAACCTATGCACAGTGGCATGTACATTCACTGCTTTTCCTATCATGCTTCCCCTGTCAAGAAAAGTGTTCTTATCTCCCTCTTTCTCCATGCCCTCCGCATCTGTGATCCTCAGTTCCTTCCAGCAGAAATTTCCACTCTTCATAATTCATTTTCCCATCTTGGCTACCCTTCCCATTTCATAGACACTGCCTTCTCACGAGCTAAACTTAATTTCTTCTCTCCCAAACTCTCTACTCCTGGGAACTCTTCTGTCCTCTGCCTTCCCTACATTTCTGGTCTTTCTAATCTCAACAATTCTCTCCGTCCCTTAGACATCAAGCTTACTTTCCGCCAGACTAACACTCTTCGCACTAATCTCATTCATACCTCTCCTCCCTCTACAGATGTTCCTGGTGTCTACTCTATTTCTTGCTCCTCCTGTCCTCTTCAATACTTTGGAGAAACTGGTCGATCTCTTTCTGACAGACTTAGGGAGCACAAAAATAGTGTTAGGCTTGCCAACACTAATGCTCTGTTCTGTCACGTCAGAGATCACAGCCATCCTATTGATTGGTCTTCCACTAAAACTGTCTTCCCTACTTCCAACTTCAACAGTTGCCGTCTTGTTGAATCCTCTCGAATACACAACTTTCCTTGTATGAATCTTAGTCCTGGCTTCGTCTCTGTAGATGCCTTCCTCTCCCATTACATTGTAAAATGCTCCAAACTTCAGAACACCCATGACTTAACCTGAATCCTCATTTTTTCTTCTTCTCCCTCTTCCCCTTTCCTCTTTCCTTTTTTTTTGTCTTTCTTCTGTTGCGTGTTTCTGTTCCTTCATTATTTATTTCATCACTTCCCCTTCCCCCCACCTCTGTGGACTTGCTCTCCCTCTGTGGGCACCTAGCTCCCTTGCAGTGCTCCCCTTTCTTTATACTTGACTGATTCCTCCTCCTTAGTTCCCTACTACTACCACTACTACTACTACTACCACCACTACTACTACTATTACTACTACCACCACTACTTCTTCCTGCCTATATATAGCCATCCTGCTCCACTTCTGATTAGTGTGACTTTGTAAATGGTCCAAGTCGGACCGAAACGTCGTTGTAAGCTCCTCTCTTCTATGTGCGGGTTATTTGTGTATCGTTCCAGTCATGGTATTGTGCCTTTTTTTTTTGTTATTTAAAATAAAATTTATTCATAACCTGCCAGTTTTATTTATTCTCTATACTCTTTCATTCACTTTATTCATAGTTGAAGCAAAGACCTGCAATACAAACCTCCTTAGCATAGCGGAGTCCCCGTTCCCATGCAGATTCAAATGGAGAAGGTTCAGGAACGAAGCGACGGACCTCTCGGGTCTAGGGAAAGGAAAAATTGCTTTAGCATCAAATATATGTACATTAGCCTATGTTATAAAAAATATTTAGTTTGTAGCACTAAAATTTATTTCAAGTGGCAACTGAATACAATACTACAACACTAAAAGGGTGCAAAAACCTAAAGACAGATTTTGCTGAAAAGTTATTAAGTGACAATGTGCTACAAGGTGAATAAACATGCATATAAAATTTCATTCCAATCAGAGAAATATTATAAATATCAAAATTATAACCTGAGAAAACACAACCCTAATAAAAAATGAACACAACTCCTGCAAGTATGTTCAGTCGTATATAATGCAATGTGCATTAACATTGTTTTATTTAAAATGTAGATTTTAAGTATGAAATATACTTAACTCTTGATTAACTATTTGTAACTACAGTAGCAGACATTAGCTTATGTTGTGTTGTCATTATGGCCCCAACTTAAACAATGATGCATTCCTGAAAATTGTTCCTAGGAACAATGTTTAAAAACCAAGTTCCCAGACATCAATGCTATAATCAAAGATCAATTCACGAGCAATATTGCTTGTATTTTTAAATAAGAAAATTTACCCAATAACATGCATTCAGTACCATTCCTTTTCACTTGCAAATAGTACATGTATTAAACACTGTCTAATTCATTCATAAATTAGGATAGTCCATACTTTTTTTTAACATTAACACATTGGCCATTTTCCACCAAGGTAGGGTGGCCCAAAAGAGAAAAACTTTCATTATTCACTTCATCACTGTCTTGCCAGAGGCACACTTACATTCCAGTTATAAAACAGCAAAATAAACACCCCTCCTTCAGAGTGCAGGCACTGTACTTCCCATCTACAGGGCTCAAGTCAGGCCTGCCGGTTTCCTAAATCCCTTTCATAAATGTTACCTTGCTCCCACTCCAACAGCACGTCAAATCCTAAAAACCATTTGTCTCCATTCGCTCCTATCTAACATGCTCATGCATGCTTGCTGGAAGTCCAGTCCCCTTGCACACAAAACTTCCTTTGCCCCTTCCCTCCAACCTTTCCTAGGCCAACCCCTACCCCACCCATCCTCCACTACAGATTTATACACTTTCAAATTCATTCTATTTTGTTCCATCCTCTCTACATGTCTGAACCACCTCAACAACCTGTCCTCAGCCCTCTAGATAATAGTTTTGGTAATCCTGCATCTCCTCCTAGTTTCCAAACCACGAAGTCTCTGCATTACATTCACACCACACATTACCCTCAGACATGACATCTCCACTGCCTCCAGCTTTCTCCTTGTTGCAACATTCACCACCCATGCTTCACACCCATATAAGAGCATTGGCATAACTATGCTCTCATACATTCCCCTCTTTGCAACCATGGACAAAGTTCTTCATCTACACAGACTCCTCAGTACACCACTTACTTTTTTCCCTTTGTCAATTCTGTGATTCACCTCATCTTTCATAAACACACATCTGCTGACACCTCCACTCCTAAATATCTGAATACATTCACTTCCTCCACACTCTCTCCCTCCAATCTAATATTTTTTTCAACAAGTTAGCCGTCTCCCACCTAGGCAGAGGGACCCCTCCCCCCCAAAAAAAAAGAAAATCCCCAAAATGAAAATACTTTCATCATCATTCAACACTTTCACCTCACTCACACATAATCACTGCTTTTGCAGAGGTGCCCAGATACAACAGTTTAGAAGCATATATAGATATAATATAAAAAGTGACCTGAAATAATATAATAAACTCCCTATAGAATATAATATCAGGGCCCAAATTATATATATACCGTCCTATTACACATCCCTCCAAACTGCTAATATCCCAAACCCTTCCTTTAAAGTGCAGGCATTGTACTTCCCATTTCCAGTACTCAAGTCCGGCTATATACAAATAACTGGCTTCCCTGAATCCCTTCACTAAATATTACCCTGCTCACACTCCAACAGCTCATCAAGTCCCAAAAACCATTTGTCTCCATTCACTCCTATCTAACATGCTCACACATGCTTGCTGGAAGTCCAAGCCCCTCACCCACAAAACCTCCTTTACCCCCTCCCTCCAACCTTTTCTAGGACAACCCCTATCTCCACAGATACCTCAATCCACCACTCACCTTTTTTCCTTCATTAATCCTTATGGTTAACATCCCTTCAAACCCTTCTGCTGAGCAAGTCAATTTCCAAAAATTTAAAAACATTTTCCCTTTTTTCAAAATCTTTCCCTCCAATAGATATCCAATTTGTATTTATCTAAATCATTTAGATACCTCATCAACTTACTCTATTTATGATCGGTTATTTATGCCCCTTGAAAACGTCCATCTTCGGAAATGTGTCTTTCAGTGACTATGAAATTTGTGTGGTCGTGGAGTCTCAGCTCTCATTTCTCTTCTATCACAGGTGACATGAAAGCAATGATAGATCAAATGCCCCTCAAAAAAGACTGAACTTTATAAAGTAACTTGAGAAAGATAGCCAAATTAGAATTGGTGATAACAACCTTCCACCTACACACTAAAGCATCTTCTCTAGTCATTAGTCTTGTCTTCTAACCCCTCTTATTCCTTTCTTTCCACTTTGAATTTTTATTCTCACAAAAATATAATATTACTGTTATGCAGACTACTGCATTAGTGTAAAAAATGGTATTTAAATATTATTGGTGCACTGTGAATGAATTTAGACTCAAACCCTTTACGTGTATTGCCGCTTGCACGATTTTTTACTTTTGAATTTGGTAAAAAACGAACATTTTTTCTACTTTGAGCTCAATTTTTAGGGACCTTTTATTGTAAAACCAGTCAAAATCATCTCATTTCAGTAATATGTCTTCCATTCTATAAAATGAGACCAAGAAAACTAGAATACAAATAAATACCTACGAAATACACTGCAAAGTCGCTGATTTATTAAAAAAAAAATGGAAAATTTTTTTTTTTTTCTCATAATGCACTGTGCTGCGAGATTTTTTTTAGACTGCACCTACCACATAGACCATTCTTTATTGAAGGCCTACCGCTTCTCCCCAATGAGTCGCTAGAATTTTGAGTATGTACGCAAAACCCTATCGCGTAAGACGTACTATCACGACGAAAACCCTCAAAGGGTTAATTCTATGGTTAACCTCATCCTTCATAAACCCATCTGCTGACAAGTCAACTCCCAAGTATTTGAAAACATTCACTTCTTCCATACTCTTTCTCTCCAATGTGATATCCAATTTTTCTTTATCTAAATCATTTGATACCCTCATCACCTTACTCTTATCTATGTCGGTTATTTATGCACTGAAAACGTCATCTTCAGAGAACAGGTGTCTTTCAGTGACTATGAAATTTGTGTGGTGTGGAGTCTCAGCCTCTTCATTTCTCTTCTACACCAGGTACTGACATCAAGCAATGATAGCATCAAATGCCCCCCAAAAAAGACTTGAACTTTATAAAGTATCTTGAGAACAGAATACCAAATTATGAATTGGTGAACACTCCTCTCACAACCTACAACCACTACCTACAGCATCTGTCTCAAGAACTGGTCTGTCTTGTGTTCTACCTCTCTACTTCCTTTCCTACTACCTCTCTTGTCCCATTCCTGTCTACTGGACTATATATACTGCCCCCTTCTCTCCTTCTGTTAGTGTGACTTTGTAAATGGTCCAAGTCGGACAAAAATGTAGTCCTAAGCTCCTCTCTCCTGTGTGTCGGTTATTTGTGTATATAGTGGAAGGGACTGATAGGCTTGATGGCAAGATACTCTTCTCTCAAAAGCCACTTCATCATCTTGGGACAGCCAAGACCCAGAGCATCTTACTAATTTTCCTGAATGGGCATCAGGAATCTGCATCCTTCCTCGCCATGCCACCATCCTCTTGGAATCAAAATGAAACATTCCAACTTTTCATGGCTTCCATCATTTCACTGAACATTGTGAGTGAGTGCCAAAAGGTATATTGTAATTCAACTAATCCATCCCCATAATGAGACCCATAAGCAGTACCTACTGTAGTCTTGTGGCTCAGCACAGGAAGAACATGCCTTCCAAGTCAAAAGCTGCATTTATAAAACAAATAAAACTCAATTAGAAAGGTTGGAGGGAAGGGGTAAAGGAAGTTTTGTGTGTGAGGGGATTGGACTTCCAGCAAGCATGCATGAGCATGTTAAATAGGAGAGAATGGAGACAAATGGTTTTTAGGACTTTATGTGGTGTTGGAGTGGGAGCAAGGTAACATTTATGAAGGGATTCAGGGAAACCAGCAGGCTGGACTAGAGTCCTGGTGATGGGAAGTACAGTGCCTGCACTCTAAAGGAGGGGTGTTAGTGTTGCAGTTTTATAACTGGAGTGTAAGTGATCAAGTGAATCATGAAGAAAGTTTTTCTTTCTCGAGCCACCCTACATTGGTGGGAAATGGCCAATGTGTTAATTAAAAAAAATAATAACAGACTGTTCATTTTTCCTGTTTTTCAAGATGGCTGGAAATTGGAATTTTTGTGGTACTCTTAAATATTAAACTAGGAAACAGACATTTTGTCTGGATGTATGCTTGGGTTAAATGTATTATGGTGACATATCTCTCAATTCTACAATTAGACAGCAACCACCCAGGGAGATACTACCATCCTGCCAAATGAGTGTAAAATGGAAACCTGTAATTGTTTTACATGATGGTAGATTGCTGGTGTTCCTTTATCTGTCTCATAAACATGCAAAATTTCAGGTATGTCTTGCTACTTCTACTTACACTTAGGTCACACTACACATACATGTACAAGCATATATATACACACCCCTCTTGGTTTTCTTCTATTTTCTTACTAGTTCTTGTTCTTGTTTATTTCCTGATATCACCCTGCCTCGGTGGGAGACGGCCGACTTGTTGAGAAAAAAAAAAAAAAAAAAAAAAAATCTCCATAGGGAAGTGGAACAAAATTCTTCACCCGTAAGCCATGCGCGTCCTAAGAGGCTACTAACATGCTGTGAGCAAGGGTCTG